ACACAGTACATAATAGATCTTTTGGATATTCCTCAATGATATCTCATGGATATTCCTCAATGATTTCTTATGGATACATTTTTTCATCACTCTGATGAAATGAATTCTAACATTGAAAACTTCGCAAAGTAATAAGGTAGGTATGGTCTAACCCTAATTTCACTCACCTCAGTCGCCTTGTCTGTTTCCTTGTAGTAAACAGAACGATTTTCCATGACAGTAACGAAGAAACATTAGAGCTTAATGAGGGCGCCACAAGGTGAATAATGAATTCGTCTGAAGTAAACAGAGAAATCGTCCTTCCATTCCCGACAATTGTCTTTTACAACCCTTCCATAATCGTTTCTTTCATGGATAAAACTTTGAGTGCAGTTGGATACTGAAGAAGGAGAACTTGAACCATAGTCGTAGTCTCAATCAGGTACTATATGATATGAAGTCATTAATTATATTTCGAATATGTTCCTTGAGAATATTATCAATCAGATATCCGAAATTATTCTACAATGGGCTTACATCACGAAAAATTTTCATATCATAATTCGATAGAACTCACCCAAACTAGCTCACCACCGCAAACCGTTTCTTGCTGTGAGCTCCCTACGTTTTATGAAAAATTATTGGAATCTCCGATTTTTCGGACCTCTGAAAACGAGGCGATGATGTGACGTCAAAACCCTAATACTGAAACAAGACTATTCCAGACAGAGATGAATGATACATGATTTCTGACGAGTGAATCAGCGCGAGATCACAGTTGAAAGAATTAATATATCAGTTGCCTCAGTCTCCGTCGGGCGTTTGGTATTTTCTTTTAACTATGGCGAGATTAGGTTTCTACGTCATAAGAGGGTCCGTTTTCAGAAGATACTATTATTTATGTCCAAGAATAAAACATTCCAGTTAAATTTTTGGTCGAATTATGTCGTCAATCATTATTTATGCATAAAAGGATCATTATAAACATGGTTTGAGTCAAAAGTTCTACTAAGGTGTACACGCCCATTTTCACTGTTTGGCTCGCTTGCAATGAGGCTCTACTCGAAATATCCTAGGAACCCCCTTGTTTGAGGAAGGAGAGTTTAGTGGTATATTGAAAATTACGAAATTTCATTTTTCTTTGGAGGTTTTGCTAACGAGTCTGTTCTCATTTTCGAGTTGGAATTTGAGAGTGGAGTGTAGTGGAGTCTTTAATAATAATATCGGTTCAATGGGCTTATTTCAGTGAAAAATGTATTTTTTTTTTGTGACGAGTGTGACGGGAAAAAAGTTTGGCATTTCATCTCTGTTGGCAGGACTTTTCATAAATTACTTTTTTCCCGTGGGATAAAAGTTAGTCCTTTTTTTCCGGATATATATCACATATTTATATATACACTGTTGATGGCTTTTGTTCTGCTATAATTCCGAAAAATGAGTCAATAATACCGCCTCCGAGAAAGAACTGCAAGTTCTTTTATCTTCCATTCGACTTCGCGGTTACGTATATTACTAAACAACCACTAAATTCGCAATTTTTTGAAATCAAATCACAGAATTAGACTGACAGATGTGACATCAGATATTTGATTACTTCAAAAGAATGATAAAGATGCCTACAACGCAGGTGTCCCTACTGTTAAAAACTTAAAATTTCACGTCGATAATTTTCAGATTTCAAAATAATGTAATATCGTCTCAATATTGACTCGTCCTTTCTTCTGTCACAGAAAAAAATAGTGTATTATACACGGGAAAAATATTAGATTTAAGCTCACGGTTTTTTGACAACCTGGAGCGAAAATCTACTACTTTTTTCCCTTCTATAATAAATAACTAATTTGTATATTGGCAGCAATGTGCCAAACCTCATTTTCTAAAAATGTGACAAACCATAAATTATTTTTTTCGAATGGAACACCCTGTTCATAATATTTTTTCTGAATCTGTGATTTTTTGTCACCACAAAAGTATATACAGTGTGTACAATTTCAACCCACACCATCCTAATTTGGAACCCGTCGACTGATTTTCAAAAACAAAAATTCCATAATATAGTACACGAAAATTCAGATTCATTAAGCCAACTATTGTTTGTTGCAGGGGTCAAAATTTCAATATAGAGATCACCTTGTAATACTTCTGATAACGACTGTAGAAAAGCTTCATTGCGGCATTCAACCTCCACATATCGTTTTTTTTTGTCTCTTGATAAAAAATAAGGTATTCATAGTGGTGGCCTTCCTTGATGGATAACCCTGTACATAAGTTCGCAGCAAATAGCATAATGGCCAAAATGGAGTGACGTACGAGTAAGCCAAAGGTCGTGGGTTCGAATCCAGTACTCCACTTTTTTTCACTTTTTTTGAAGTGATTGAAAAAATACTGTTGGGGCCGATATATGTACAGGGTGGGCCAAATTGTACACTTTTGAAGGAAAAAGTCTCATTCCCATACTACATAGAACAAAACTGATGTTGTTCGAAAATATGAATTTTCGAAAAGTGGCTGGAAGTCATTTTTTTGACAAAAATTCTTCGTTTCCATGTAAAAATTATCAAAGCATTGTGTTTGACATGGAAATTAATCCTCAGGCACTGAAATCAGTCACCACCCAGTTAACACAGGATATCTTATGGATGTCCATTTCAAGTCCTATTCAAGGCGGGATATATCCGTGGACATAAAATGTATATCCATAAGATATCCGATTGCGGATGTACTTGAGATATCCGAAACGTCCTGAATACGTCCATAGGATATCCATAAGATACAGAGACAAAAGATCAAAACCTAGAAATTTCAAATCAAAAGTATATACAATGAATGAAATGATAAATAAATAAAAGAAGATCCACAAAAGTAACACTTGTGCGTGGGTCTTCCAAAAGTTAACACACATTGTGATGCACTATCTGCTATTATTATTAATTCGGTTTTCAAAAACAGCGCGAGGTTGCGTAACTTCTCAAATAGTCCAAGATTGGTAGAACTGATGATTATTTATAGATCATCGATTCTACCAACCTTGGAATAGTCAAATAATGTCAATCTGTTCTCATATTTGATTGATTTGAAGTGAATTTGGAAGTGATTCCTACGAATTCGTCCAAAATTGATGTTGCATAAGAACTGACAACTATATTATTCGAACGCAGCGAGACGTGAGTGCTTTCCAATTTTTGTGATGTTTTCTATATATATATATATATATATATATATATATATGGTATACTATCTCTTATCCATATCCATAGTTGATATCTTATGGATATCCATGATGAATATCCTCAAGACATCCAGAAAGGTCACACTGTCATATCCTATGGACGTCCATATTAACTATATTATTCTAACGCAGCGAGACGTGAGTGCTTCCCAATTCTTGTGATGTTTTCTATATATATATATATATATATATATGGTATACTATCTCTTATCCATATCCATAGTTGATATCTTATGGATATTCATGATGAATATCCTCAAGACATCCAAAAAGGTCACACTGTCATATCCTATGGACGTCCATAGGATATACCAGAGCCTTTTTCGGATATCTTATGGACATCCACAATATCCATGATGGATATCCATAAGATGTACTTGTGCTATCTGGGAGATATTCGTAATGTCCATTGTGTAGTAGGTAACGTGATTATTGAAATGGTGTTTCCTTTAGCATCAACGATTATGCGCATGTTTCGACGTCTGGCGATTTGTGTACATTCCAGCTGGTTCATTAGTCTGCGTGTATCAAAAAAACATTTTCCGATTCGTAAATGTTTATCTTTTGAAAGGCGCATACCTCAAACACTGTACCTACGTCTAATTCGAATTTTTGAGATGGATTTTATGTTGAATGGAAGGTGACGCGACCCGAACGAATTATTTTTAACATCGATTCAGAATGAGGTGGTGTCTAAACAATTCACACAAAATTGCATGAATTTCCGTTCATCGAATATAAATTCTGTGGAAAAAATGAGGTAACAACACTCAATTAAAATGATATTATGCCATGTGATAAACATCATAAACGTACAGTGTTTACAATATCTGATGTGGAATGAATATGAAGATCTTTTTTACACAATGAATTAATAACAAGTGCAAAAATCCTTAATTTGTCTACTTGGCATATTTTATGAAAAAATTCCATGATTTTTTTAGTAGCATCCCACACAGCACATGTACGGACAATGGATGTACAATGGACGTTGGATATGGATGTTTCGGACATCCAATGGATGTCCAGAAATGTACATTCAATGTACGTCCAATAGACATCCAGCACACCACTTCGGACGTACATTCCAAGCCCAGAAAATGTCCAATGGACGTACATTGTGCGTACACTGGGCGGCCATTGTATGTCCATATTTAGTGAAATGGATGTCCAGAAATCATCCAAATAACAACCACTCTGGGTATTTTCTGGACGTCCAGCTCAACCCTTGTAATGAGAATTGTAATTAATTTCATATACAATCAATTATCTATCTATTTATCTATCTAATTTGTTTTAATGAACTGTAGCTGTATAACGAATAATTATTTCGATTTTCCGGCCTTCCAAGCGAGTTCAGTATTCAATGCTAGACTCCCAATCAAATCCTCAATTGATCTACTAATTACAAAATCTGTTATGGCTTGTGTTTTCTTGTTAAGAGAAGATGAGAATTTCATAACTTTATTAACTTGCGAAATCTTCAATTTCAAGTTATTGATATATGTGTATTGGTCATAGTTGAACATGTATACTCGTATATTCCGCTTCCCTCAGTCATGCTTCGAATGTGCAAGATGTTCCTCGAACCTAATATGGACGAATCGTCTCGATAGGCCTACATATGTTGCAATCAATTCCTGATTTTTCAAGCGTGTCAACACTACCTTTGTTCTCCAATTATGACATGACAGATATAATACATGTCCGATACATACATTATATCAAACTCCTCCCTATTCGCTATTCACCTTGTAGTACCTTATTTCGAAATATGTATAAAAAAGGATATGGGTTAGAAATCAGCGCCAAACACCAATTCCTCGGCCTGGTGGTCTGCGACAGGTACCCTAATGCGATAGGAGCGATGAGGGGGTAGGGTAGGTTCGGATCGATCTCTACCCCTGATCCAGATCCTGATCCAGATTCCGAATCTGAAAAAAAAAATGTTCATTCAATTATATTGGGTTTGCAGGAAGGTGAGGTACTTTACCATTACTTCAACCTATCAGCCAGCACGTTTGAATGATAGGTTGAATTTATGGTGAGGCACCTCGCCTCATACTTATACAGGGTGATTCAGATGTATCCCATTGAAATGAAGCTGGTGATAGAGCTTAGAAATATATGAAGGACTTATTAGTACTGTTCATTGGGGACCTATACAAGGCATTCAAGTGGATCATGGCAATATTAATAGTTTTTTCACTCTATCTTGGAAAGTATACATGTGTCCAAAATTCGTTCAGTTCGAGTCATATATTCATTGAAGTAGCTTCGATTAGTAATTATGATCGATTACAGAAACGTGCATATTGTTTTTCATGAAAGAGAGTTCAAGAAATGAATTTAACTGAATATCTTCTCTTCTGACGATTTTCTAGTGGCTATTCCACTCTTGGTCTCTAGAATCAATCAGAATCAGCCACTTTCACGGTTTTTGTGTATCACAGCCATATTTTTATATTGTCTCGATCATTGAATACTCATACGAATACAACTAGTGATACTATTTTTCCTGGAAATATTCGTCGATTGACATACTCCAGCTTGCTGCTCTAATTTCGCTAATGGCAATGTGCATCATAACTTTCGAGCAATAGCTGTTGTAACAATAATCGTCGAATATTTCCTGCAAAATTGTATCACTTGTGGTATTACATTATGAGAATCCATATAGGAATTCTGGAAGTGCGAGTAAAATTTTATAGTCGACGAAAGATGCTTTGGTTTTTGGTTGTCACTGGGAGGAGCGATCCTTCCTCCAGTCAATGATTTCATCCCCTGCATCTCTGAAACCACTTATTTCAGACGAAAAATAAACATAGAACCTTTTCTAAATAGAACACCTTATGTCGTTAAATTTTGTATACGCATCTACCCTTTCTTGCTATAGGTGCCATGACCTGAATTATTGACAACTAACCACAATACCAAACCGGTTTTTTTATAGACCTATTATCCAATGGGTTTTTCAAATGCCTCGACACGTGTTTCGCTAATATGTAAGTAAAATCAAGGTCCGTCACTCATCAAGTTCACTTCAACACGACATTTCGCAGCGCTGCTTAACAAGATGTAATCCATATTTTCCCCTCTTCTGGGAAACACTTTTTAATTTGTTTGTAACGTATTCTACTCAAATGTCGTTAGTTTTAAACTGGACAATAGTATATTATGTAACAAGTGTTATAGACGTCCTTTTAGTAACGAGTATTTTAAGCACGAGCGGAGCAGAGCGGAGCGAGTTCAAAGATTCCACCGGAACAAGTATACTTATACTACTTACATACATAAATTGCAAGGTGAATAAAAACTTTTATCTTCTAACAACTAGACAAGATCTAAACAGCTAGTACAGGAAGATTCATAATGATATCACGGTACATTTTCAACGAGCCATCCTGTATAAGATAATATATTGAGCAGTCAGCGGAGCAATAATTGATAATGTGGCGCCCAAATATCGAAAAAGGCGAGAAATGTAATTGAAACGACTTTATGAGTTCCTGAAACATCCTGCAGTGTCAGAAAATTCACTCTCATTCTTTTTCTGCCGTATCAAGACAATGGCGTTTTTATGCATGTTTATATCTTTCCTCGCTCCATAATCTTGTTCCTGATGTCATTCCGTCTGGAAAGATATTGAGCTCTCAATGACACGCCTTTCACTGTATGTCAGGCAGTTTGAGCACACGAAGTAAACAAGAATACACGAGATAATCTAGAAAGCAGTCAACCATTTTACTACGAACAAATGAGGAACGGAAACGTTGGGAGAAGTTGGGAGAAGATGACATACCAGAATTATCTTTACTCGAGTATGCAGAGTCTGCACTCGGCGACTCATCATATTATTTCTGCGTTGTAAAAAGTGAGGTCACAGAATTTCCACTGATTAAAACAAGTCGGCGTCTGCTTGCTTACGTTTTTCAGTCGAGTTGGCTGGAATTAATTAATCACCAAAGACAGAGATCACCCAACCCCGTGATCTGATGTGATTAAGATTAAACAAGTCAAATCATTGATGTGGATATTGAATATTTGCCACTACACATTTTTCAATTATAATTCAGAAAGCGTAAATTGTAATTCAGATTTCTCTAATTTTTGGATGTATGATAAATTGATATTCATCATATACGACGTGGAAATTGTAATTCAGATTAGTCAAATGAAAGTCAAATAGCATCAATTGAAATTCAGATATCATCAATTGTAATTGAGAATATGTCAATTGTAATTCAGACTGATGAATTTATGAAGGTATTCATGTAGAGCCAGCGACTTCAGAATTATGAAATTAGTTTCATTGATGGTCAATTGAAATCAATTCTAATACCTAGGTGAAATGGGGAAGTTATATTAGAAAACGTAATTTCTGAAAAAAATATGGCTTTGTGATTCATTACCTACATTTATTACGCTTGGCTCAACAAGCAAAGGTAACATGGTTCCATATTTCTGAATTACAGATGAAGCATCCTGAATTTCAATGGACTATTTCTGAATATCGGTTGGCCAATCTGAATTGAAATTGATCTTTTCTGAATTGCAATTGACTAATCTGAATTTCAACTGACGCTTTCTGAATTTCAATTAACTAATCTGAATATCGAATGACATAGTCTGAATTACAATTTAGCCATTCTGAACTACGAATAATCACAAATGACACTTTCTGAATTTCAATTGCCGCTTTCTGAAATACAAATGATATTGTCCGAATTACACTTGACGTTTTCTAAATTACAATTTGAAAAAGTGTAGAACACACCATTATGTATGAAGTCTTCTACCTGAGGAGTGAGAAATCGTTTTTGATATAGGACAATCGAAATATTAGTCATATGTGCTAGTGTAACTAGTGCATAAAGTGTTTGTTTCTTGCATGATGCTGTTCGAGAGAATGTCGAGAGCTGCAATCATATGCTGAGTGCAACAAATATGCTTTTGTACATGTTGCACACAACATATATTTCCACGATCGAATTAAATTTTTTTAATCTCTTGGGGCGCACGAAATGAAGTCCCTATAAAGTGCAAGGAACATCGTTCTAGGGAGGATAGGGAGTATCTTCAGAAAAGGGAAAGGTCGCCGACTTTATCAGTGTGAAACCAGCCACGAGTTCCAGCCACGACTTCACCAAATATTCCACGCGCGCTATACCGCCAATGGTCGTTTATTACTAATTTTCATTCATGGCTGGCCATGAAATTACTCAAACCTCCAAAATATGTCCGTGGATGAAAATTTATTCCATCAATGTATTCCTCTATGAGGGTCCATATTGACCACTTGTATGAACAACGGATATAATAATAATTCCAGCACGCCCTGTATGATATGGACTCGTATGGGGGCGACTTCTCGGTATGAATTGAATACATCAAGCCTGTCCAAATCACCACTGAAATATCAACTCTTAATGATTAGAGAGTCCTGATTTACATAAGTTTAATTAGGGATATGTTTTGGACCATATTTAACACAAATTATTTTTTATCTCGAAAACCGATGGAGATAGGTATATGGATTTTTCAACAAAAGAGTATTGTAATAAAAAAGCAATTCTAAAAATTCGTTTATATACGGGATGTTCCATTTAAAAAAATGAAGTCGCTAGGACTTTTTGATAGAAACGGCAACGTCGCAATTTCGAAAATTTTTCAGATCGATAGAACAGGTGATAAATTGTAAGATGCGAAATTTTCATTGGAATCCTGCGTTGCGTTTTCCATAAACGTCTAACGTACCATCGACCGTGAGTTACCCTGTATATGTCTTATTCTTTTATTCACTCGAACTATTTTTATACAGAGAATAGAGAATGACAAAAGTTCAGCGTGCAAGTTCTTCTTCTAAATAATACCATCCAGTTAGGGTCCCTTGATGTAAATTGACGTATTTGTCATCTCAATAGGGTATACGGACAGATCCTCGTCTCCTCTCTCTTCAAAGTGTTTGTGAAACAGTTATATAGTACCATCTTTATTCATTTCTGGGGATAAACACTAGATTTCTGACATTTGTTGTTTTCGAGTTTTTCATTTTTCAAGTCGAGCATAATCTTCGAGAAAAAAGTCTGCGGGCGCCCATGGCGTAGTTTGACAGGTCATCGGATTGCCACTACTGTCAAATAAATGACAGATTTGCGTATAAAAAAATGTCAGTATCTCTGAAATCGTCGAGCGGTGACTCGAAGCGATCCAACCTCAGCAATGCCTCAAAACACGCCGGCAACACCAAGCATTCATCCTCCTCCAAGTCCTCATCAAAGACCCAAGGGAGCGCTGAACAACCAGAAGAACACGTGCAGCCCGAGTTTCCAGAGTCCAATTTCAAATCGATCCTGGCATCAGCGAGAGCACGGAAGAAACCGACTTTGGACGAGTTCAAAAGAGGGACCATCGAGAAAACGACGCTGTTCTCGAAAACGATGACGCTCGATTCTGCAGAGGTGTTAGTTGAGAAACAGAGCGGAGAACCTTCGATTTTAATGAAGCCATTTGAGTAATAAAACTTCCATAATGTTGCGAAGCCCACCACCTTCGAGAAAAAAGTCTGCGGGCGCTCATGGCGTAGGATGACAGGTCATCGGATTGTCACTACTGTCAAATAAATGACAGATTTGCGCATGAAAAAATGTCAGTATCTCTGAAATCGTCGAGCGGTGACTCGAAGCGATCCAACCTCAGCAATGCCTCAAAACATGCCGGCAACACCAAGCAGTCGTCCTCCTCCAAGTCCTCATTGAAGACCCAAGAGAGTGCTGAACAACCAGAAGAACACGTGCAGCCCGAGTTTCCAGAGTCCAATTTCAAATCGATCCTGGCATCAGCGAGAGCCCGGAAGAAACCGACTTTGGAGGAGTTCAAACGAGGGGCCATCGAGAAAACGACGCTGTTTTCGAAAACGATGACGCTCGATTCTGCAGAGGTGTTAGTTGAGAAACAGAGCGGAGAACCTTCGATTTTAATGAAGCCATTTGAGTAATAAAACTTCCATAATGTTGCGAAGCCCACCCCCTTCGAGAAAAAAGTCTGCGGGCGCCCATGGCGTAGTTTGACAGGTCATCGGATTGCCACTACTGTCAAATAAATGACAGATTTGCGTATAAAAAAATGTCAGTATCTCTGAAATCGTCGAGCGGTGACTCGAAGCGATCCAACCTCAGCAATGCCTCAAAACATGCGGGCAACACCAAACAGTCGTCCTCCTCCAAGTCCTCATCAAAGACCCAAGAGAGTGCTGAACAACCAGAAGAACACGTGCAGCCCGAGTTTCCAGAATCCAATTTCAAATCGATCCTGGCATCAGCGAGAGCCCGGAAGAAACCGACTTTGGACGAGTTCAAAAGAGGGACCATCGAGAAAACGACGCTGTTTTCGAAAACGATGACGCTCGATTCTGCAGAGGTGTTATTTGAGAAAAAAAGCGAAGAACCTTCGATTTTGGTGACTGGATTCGGTTTGCGGAATTTGCGGTCCTTGCAAGACGCGCTTGAAGAAGATGAACAGAAAAGGTTTGTCTAGTTATTTGTTCTCAGCCAGTCGAACCGTAACCCAGACTGGGGCAAGAACAGGAAGTCGGGTAGTTGTGATTTTTTGATATGTTGGGGAAAATTGCACTTATCATGCGATAGGTTTTCTTTTCAATTTTTCGTGGAATTCACGTATTTTTGTCACAAAAACAAGAATCCGATGATGAGAATTTGGACAAACCACTATTTATTGAGATATTTCCAGAAAAAGTTCAAAATTTCGCCTACTTTTTCCCCCTGTCTTGGATGCATTTACAGCTACCTACTTGCTCTTCTTATTTTGTCATTGGACACTTTATATACTCATGATGAACATTGTGATGTAGAAAATTCATCACGAAATCTGATTTTCATGGCGAGTTTTCCATATCAAATACCAAATTGCATCAAATAAGAGATGTCAAATGTCAATAGATTGCTTTTGAATGACGATACACACGCCATCATTTCAAATGATAGTCTTCCTTCTCCTCACTCAATATGGACAAATCGAAAGAAAATCATATTTCTAGTGGACTTGTGTCATTGAAGTACATTGTTCAATGATGAAAAAAAAGGGCAAATTGTTTTAAATTAGGGTTGCCATCCGTCCGGATTTCCCCGGACATGTCCGGGTTTCAGAGACCGGGACGTCCGGGCGGATTTTGAAAAATTGTCCGGATTTTCCTCAGGTCGAACCACTGACATAAACTACCACCATGTCAGTGAAAGTTTGCTCAAAAATTGAATATTTGTAGATTCAGTATTATGTATGTGACTTATTTTCGTTTCAAACTCTTGATTGGGAATTTATTTTTTGTTTGAAAATGATTTTGAGTTTTTATTCGATTTCTGCAACAAAAAATATGTATAGGTAATAGAACTCATTTATATGTATATGAAAATGGAATTACAAAAAATGATTCCAAGTTTTCAAAATTCCCGCTGTCCGGATTTTGTCCGCATTTTCAAGTAGCCTTGTCCTGGTTTTCACATTTCAGAGATGGCAACTTTATCTAAATGCGATCCAAAAGACAGGCGGAAATTGAGGTGAAATTTTGTAACTTTATAGTGAAATTTCTTAATAAATAACGGTTTGTTCATATTTTCATTATCAAATTTGTGTTTTCCAGGAAAAAATACATAAGTAACAAAACAAATTCTCGAGAAAAAACCCATCGCAATATAAGTGCAATTTTACCGTAGGTATGTTGTATCTATTCGCAGTTTTCAAGGTCAATATCTGACGTGGCGATTGCGTTAAAACTGGAGGAAAACATTCCCCAGTTCTTACACAGATTGAAAATTAGACAAGTTTTTGCCACAGAACTCACAATCTTTATATCGTACACTAGAATGCGTATCCAATATGGCGGACGAACAAATCATGCATCAGCTGCAACCATTGTCGATCTAAATGAAAACCTAGAAGGCGACCTAGTACGCGGGGAGGTTATTATAGCTGCTACTAACTACCTAACTAGGTAGTCATCTAGAACGACAATGGCAAAACAAACCGATAAAAATGCATGAGCTACGTCTCTCTCTATTACCATAAAGTCTGAGATTAGTATAATTTGACCCATATTTCAGTGCCTATGTTCTGGTTGAAAATTTGGTATGAAACCATAGGATCGCGCGATCTATTCGTTAGATAATAGTTATTTATGTAATAAGGATCATAAAGACGATCATTATGTACAAGTCGTGAATGTTATAGGGCGAGGCGTAGCCGAGTCCGATAACACAGCGTGTGCCATAATGATTGTTTATGATTCGTATTACATACAAAATTTTATCTGATGGCATTTATATCAATACATTTTCGAAAAATTAAAAACTGCATTTTCGACATGTCACAATGACAACTATTTTTAAAGGAGTAAGTATTGTGTAGTTTCAAATATTAGTAGGTGAGTGAGCCGTGCTTTGCCATTATATTAATATTACAAATTTTAGTAATTGTTCTTTTACCATTTATAATAAATAGGTTTGTACATAGTTATGCATTTTGAATAAACTTTTTTGATCAAACCATTACATGTTTTCCTTATAGAATTTCATTATGGTACTAAGTACCATAATGAATTCATTATGGTACTTAGTCCCATAATGAATTCATTATGGTACTTAGTCCCATAATGAGCTTCCTTATGTCATCAAAATTGAGTGACATAACGTTGTCATTATGACATGCCATCAGATAAATATATTATGAGCTACTATTGGAGGCTTTCAACGTCATCATGTGACATTGTGATGACATAAAATCGTCTTCGACTCGGAATAATTTTCAAAATATCCATGAGCTCGAAAAAATTTCCGGAAATAATTTGACCTCTAGTGGTATTACAAGTGTAAATAATAGGTGACTATTTGTCATGATCTTGGGGTCATATTGTTGATACTTTCGGAATTTTGGCCTGAAAAAACTTCTACTGAGTGTGAAATGATCTCCTGAATCCCAAAATGTGAAATATACAGAAGTAAACCATAAGTAAGTAGTTAAATCTATTGACTGAATCAACAAAATGGCAACAAGAATAGGTAAAATTTGATTTTTTTCAATCTGCCAGAATTCAATTCAATTTTGGTTTCAAGATTTTCTCCGATTTTCTCTGCTCTAGTAGAATCAGCAGTACTTTCCCATTATTGAGCCAATGCCATTTACATAGTTAGATGGTTGTTAATGAGTTTTTTCGCATTTCTTATTCAGATTCTTTGATGTGTCACCAAATACACAATTCTCCATTCTCAATAAAATATACCTACACTTTTTTCAAGACTCCTGGAGCTATACAAATACCAGAAACCAATAGTCGAAGAACATGTTCTGAAGGAGGAAGCTGACACGCTCAAACATTCCATATCCTCTGGCTCTTCCACCACCACCAGAGACATCTCTACAAAATCCGCAGAAACCGAAACAGAACTGACCACCGCACATTCAGACATCTCCGGTCAGAAGCTCCAGCTGCATTACCTCATGGGACTGCAACACCAAGCAATCGAAGAACACACTGAAGAATCCCCCTATCAATCAAGAGACCAACCAGATTTCGTCTACAGCAACTCGATACCCATGCAGCAAGCGCAGAGATACCTCCGCGTCCACAGAATCTTCGATTTCTTCCAGTTCATCACCGCACACCTGTTGGGTTCTCTCCCAGCCAATCCGGTGGAGTTCATCATCGAGTTGCTCAACAAGTGCTTGCTGTACAGGTCTGGACTGGGAAAGCCCCCTTTGCTCTACGACGAGACTCACATTCTGCAGCTGTTCAAGCTCATGGACCGCATGAACACTGGATTCATCGAGAAGGATCAGTACAAGCAAGGATTGATAACCTTGGGAGTCTGCGAGTACAACAAATTTCCACAGATGACTGCAGATAACATGGTGTCTAAAGAAACCTTCATTGAGGAAGCAATGAGAGGAGAGCTGTGCCTGTTCAATGATTTGATAAGGGAACGGAGGACGAGGAAAGTTGTCATGCAAGATGAATTACAGAAGGCCAGTGTTGATGTTCTGTCGAAAGACTCTGCTGGGCCTTATTTCATGCCTTCGGAGCTGTTCAGAAGTCTCAAGAAGGAGCAGAAACCTGGAGGAAAGAAATCCGCACCGATGAGCTATTTTGGGGAAGGGTGATACCTCGGGAGACACCAATGTATCTGGAGTGTAATGCAAGTAGTGAAAGGATAATTTTCAAATTGTATTGTTTGCCTAAGCGTAGGAAAAAAGATGTATTCAACGATGATTGAGTAACACGTGCCTGTTTTTGATGCGTCATTTTTTTTCACACATGTTAAAGAGGTATGAAGATTTATACAGGGTGTCCGCTGAAAGGAGGTCAATCTGTTAACCACATATTCCTTGAACAAAAATAATATGAGTTTCTAAATACTATTTTCCATTTTAACCCTTCATATTCGATATACAGGGTGTCAAAGTTGGAAATTAAAAACTGTTTTTTTCTAATTACTCGCGTATTTGATGAGATAATAATCTCAAAATTGGTACATTACTTCAGCTCAGAGAGTTACATCGTGTGAGGGGAACATAACAGAAAATAACTATCAAATATTCAAAATACTGGGGGTCAAGTACACAATTACCCCCATATTTTTTTGTACGTGCGCTAATGACTTCCTATCTATTTTCCTTCAAGTGTTCAATCATTTTTGAGTATTTCTTGTTTCTTGTGAAATTTCGATTAAATCATTTGTTTTTGAGATAATTCGAAAAGTACTGGTTATTGTTTGATGCCTATGCGGCTTACGGTAATCTCATAATGTTCACATACTCCTATTTATTTCGTCGAAATTGGAAGAGGGCGTATCTTTTTACGTACGAAAAGCTAAATATGGAAATACCGGGTGCTCAGAGCAAATGTACTAAAATAATTTTTACAAAAAAAAAATTAAAAAGTGTTGGCTTCATTCTGACAGGTTATGGTTCTGTTATTATTTATATATGCATTGAAATATCTCGAATATACCTCGATCCTTAACGAAAATATCATTGAATCAATGAATCAATGTCGGCTACATTCAATGATACTATCCTTCCTAACTTCCTGCCATCGGTCAGAACAGAATGAAGCCGACACCCATGGCTCCTTCCTCTTGTTCTGCCTGTCAGTATTTTGAGTGGTGTGGACGGACTCGAAGTATTAGGCGTTGTTGCAAGATATAACCTGCAAATTTCCTAGAAAATAGATCCGTTTTATTAAGGAACGAATTCATTAGCAAGAAAATAACTGACAAGTTATGAATATTATATTGTTATATAACGATAGTGAGAAATTGAAGATACTATCACAAAATATCATAATTTATCTTTATTAGTAATGAACTTCATTCAGCCAATGAGAGATTTATAGGAATTACTCATAATACTTGACAAAGGAAATCTAGACATATTGATGATGTCGGCAACGTCGTACTGGCACAGAGAATCGTATTTTAACTCAGAAAGTACTTCATAGGAATGGTGGGGGAGCCAAGTTCCTTTTTCATTTATTTTTTTCTGAAGTGGAATTCGATCTTACGAAAATAAGAAAAAATATGTATGTATTAATTTTTTTTGAAACTTCACAGTGAGATGAAAACCTCAATTTATGAAACTTCCCCATTACCTCCCGGAGTATACGAATGTTATTCTGAGACACTCTGTGTGTACATTTATTGACCTAAGATTTATGGGAGCCTGGAAGAACGGCATCTCCTGCTCTGGCACAGGGGTAACTCAAACGAATGAAAAGAATGAATTTCAATGCCTTGAATTCCCACTGCGCTGGCTCCCCCACACTTTTTTTAATATGAGCTATCTGTATTTTAGGAAACGTGACAGGGAGGAAGTCAGGTGTCAGGTGGATGTTCCTAGTTCGTTAAAGTCACGATGTTAAAGTCAATGTCACGCCTGTGTTTATGTACAACAACCAATAGTCCAGGAGCCGCAAATTTTGATCGTAATCTGATGATGAAATGATATATTATTATGTCCCAAAGGCATGTAAAACCACTGTAGTTTATCGAGCGGCACCTGTACCAATCACTATCCTGAGCAAAATGATTGAAAATTTGCACTTTCCTGTGCGGAAATTTGCACTCGATTTCGCGATTTGATAACGATATGAGAATTATGCCATCTGGTAGCATTTGAATGGTAGATTTCCAAAACCTATCTGTGCCACCGTGTGCCACCCCTCAGTCTGGGCCAAATCCACGGCACAACGATTTATTTGTTGCTATTATTCCAGACATACTTCTGCCATGTGATAACGAGTTGAAACAAGAAGCATATAAGATTGGATGGTGACTCCTTCACGAATATCCAAACGTACCACGATTCAAACGAATCTAAGTTAATGGCAGAGCGTCTATACTTCCGAGAATAGTTCGCCTCCCTCTAAAGATGATATCCGATGGACCAGTGTATAACTCAACAGGTGGATTAGAATACTTTTAGTGTGAGCACCGGCTCTGCAACGAAATAGCGCGTAACAAAACAGCGCGTGACAAAACAGCGCGAACAAAACAGCGCGTTACAAAACAGCGCTGTAATAAAACAGCGCGTAACAAAATAGCGCTGTAACAAAACAGCGTTGTAACAATATAGCGCGTTCTGAAGTAGCGCTCATTTCCGTTTGTTATTTCAAATGTTTAAATGTTTTCGCATCTCAAACATATCTCATCAGCCATTATACCTATCTATCAGTGATTGATTACCCAATAACCTATCATGTGAGTAAGTCGTTCCGTCGTTGCTGTGAAAAAGAAATTACCGAAAATTACCATAGATATACGTCATTCGATGTTTCAATTTGACAACAATCGCCTATTGTCTGTAATCAGTGTCAGAACAATGGAGATATTGGAAACTCAGGAAGAAAGAGATTTACTGAAATATGATGATTATAGATATAGACGTGATAAAGTACACAGTCATTCGGAATCCTGGGTTTGTTTCATCTTTCCCAAAATTTGTGGAGAAAAATACAACAATCAAAACTCACCACAACATACTGATCAGATGAAAGTAGAGGTCGCTCCAAGATGCTTCTAGCATTGAAATTTGTTCCTGAAGTTGTCGTCCAACGAGTATTTGATGCAATCGCACATAATCAGGATTCCTTATCCTCTGAAGAATTCGCTTCATTGTTGGAATATTGGGAGATAAATTACGTAGGAAGAAAACTAATAAAATTGAAAGCTCGTTTTCCTGTTCCTACTTGGAATTTATTTCAACGCATACAAAAAAATTTGTCTAGAACAAATAACTGTTTGGAAGCTTAGCACAATTCGTTCCAACACTCATTGAATTGCTATCATCCATTGCTTCATAAATTGATTAATCATCTGAAGAAAGAACAGAATCAGGCTGCAATTTTCATCACACGCTTCAAATGTGGCTTCAGACATGGAATGGGAAATAATAGCAAATATGTGCAGCTCAACAAAAGACTTGAAAGATTAGTGAGAAAATATAACTTCGACCAAATTGAATATTACTTACTACAACTTGAGTATTTGATTTTCATGTTCAAAGACTTGTTTGTTATAGTCCAATGAAGAGTTGAATGAAATATGCTTTTCATGATTTCTAATCATTTTGGAATAAGCGCTATTTAGTTGCAGCGCTATTTTGTTACAGCGCTGTTTTGTTACAGCGCTATTTTGTTACGCGCTGTTTTGTTACAGCGCTGTTTTGTAACGCGCTGTTTTGTTCGCGCTGTTTTGTCACGCGCTGTTTTGTTACGCGCTATTTCGTTGCAGAGCCGTGAGCACCACACATGAGCATCAACAAGGGCAAAGTATTCATGGAAATATTGACACTTTGCCAGTAACTTAGATTAATTTGAATCGCGACATGTTTGGATATTCGCAAAAGGGACTATTTTCCCTTCCATTTGCTTTTTGTTTCAACTCGTGGTCACATGACGGAATTATGGGAATAAAAGGAGCAAATAAATCGCTGTGCCGTGGATTTGGCTGAGGCTCAGACTGAGACGTGCTCGGAGAGATGGCACAGGTATAGGTTTTTGAGATCTACCATTCAATTGGTATCAGATGGCATAATTCTTATCATGTTATCAAATCGCGAAATCGAGTGCTTTCCGCCCAGGAAATGAATCCAAAGGACGTCCTAATTTGGTCACAGAACTGACCGATTGACGATGATGGGTATATATAGGTAGGTATTATAGAAACACAATTATACACTAATCTTTGATAAGATTCATCGATGAGTTATGGGTCCCTCCGCGGACGTAATCCAGTTCGATCCTGGCGTTATTATTAGTTCGCATCTCTATGTGAGTGTAACATTACCTATTCCTATTTATATATAAAATTATGTAGCGAGCGTCGGCGAGATGTAAGCAGAATAAGAGAAGCTTGATTGCAATGCACCGAAAGTTCGCATATGAAGCTTCACGTAGTAGAGAGAGGTATATACAACCTCAAATTACGTGAAGAAAGGAGATGAGTATGTGAGATAATTATTGATTTCAATATCGCAGTGCTACTCGTACTCACCTTCCAAATCGGACAGGGTGGAGTCCCCGCTGTCGAAAACATCCACCGGGTCCCGGAGCGGGCCCCCCCTCCTGTGCAGCCTACCGTCCGAGCCGGACCTGCAATGAGCGTACCCGGGCCCGGGGAAGCCCGAGTTGGAGTAGTAGGGCATGTTCCCCTCCGCGGCATTCATCTGTCTCTATCACATCGCCGCGACGTCCCCCGACGACATTCTCGCGCTTTACCGGTCACTAGCCACCCGCTACGTGGGGTATTAGTCACTGCCCGAACGCGGTATGGGGTCTCAGTCACTGCCCAAATGTGCTATAAGGTCTTAGCCACTGCCACTGGGCCGCTACGAGATATTGGGACTCGGTCACTGTTGGTGGAGAGGGGAGTGTCACGTGGGTACGTTATCACTGCCGGGGTGAGATCTTGGAGCTCAGTCACTGCCGACGACTAGTCGATGGCGGTTGCAGGTTTTAAATGGGTTGGTAGAGTGATCGAGTAGGTTGTTCCCGATTATTTCGTGGTTACGGAAAGTTGATAGATAAGAGAAGATTTGGCACTGAGATTACTGTAGCTGGAATCTGAAAGGAAAGAAAAAATAATTAGGCAAAGTTGGTTATACAGATGTTCCATGCTGCTCAATCCTTTTAGTGAAATGTTCGTTTTGGCTTAATTTATCTATATACATATAAGAGTCAACAGAAGAGTTTTCGTAGCTTGACAAATCGCTAACTTGTGTTGTATGGGACAAAATGATGCAGTTAATTTGTTCCAGAGCTATTCTATTCCCAAGAAAGAGTATTTATTTACGACAGGGAGTCAGGCAATGAACATTAGGGTGTCAAATTGAAAACTTCCTATGCGAATATCTCGCAAAATAAATTAGTATCAACGCCGTTTGGCACGAATTTCATAGAGTTAGGGGGAACTAGAACTTCTGTGGATGTGGTAAGTCATTTCTCAGGTGTGATACACCTGAAAATTGTCAAATGGTACTAATCCTCTTGTTCTAATGGAAGGACTCATTCATTTTATACAGGTGAATACTACAAAATGAGACCTTCTACTTGTGGTAGCACAGTGCCATTGAGATACACTAAAATATGGTTGGTTCTAGTGCCCTTATACAGTTCCTAGGAAATATTTTATTCAACAGACTGGGTTGAGAATTAATGTCAGAAATCATTTTATTCAAAGTTCGCAGCGGTGGTATTATACTTCGTATTGAAATTTCAATTAATTCTCATATTTTGAATTTTGAGATATAGTATGCCCATAAATAGCAATTTTACTACTAATATGTTTTTTATCGTTCAAATCTTTCCATTCGTTTTTTCAATTGCAAACACTTTCCATAATATAACTGTGTTCACAAAACTCTGTTTTTTTTTTCGAAATTGCGTGGATATTTGTATTTTGATTTTATCTGCTTTATTCTGAAAAATCTTCAGTTTTGGTTTCCAAATCTTATTTTTCTAATTCATTTCCTGAATTTCTATTTCTTCTTTGATGTGTTTCCTGGATTTTTCTTTCTTTACAAAATCTCATTTTGATACACCTAATGGTCTAGATTAGTCTAGAAGTTATGACTTGTCTAATTCGTTGACACCCGGTATACGCATTTTGCTGAACTTATATTCCATGTCGGCCGCTTCATGTTTTCTTTCCATTTTTGTAAGATGTTATATTTGATGGAAATTCGAATGAAATGAATCGATTCCCAATATTTTTACAGTAAAGAACATCACGAACTTGCGTCTTATTATCTTCCCATTTCGTTCATAACTTTGAAATTGATATCATGTACGTTTGTGTTTTGCCAGTTTTTCATCTATAAATGGCGTGCACATAGGTAAGATGACCGACCCTGGAGGTAAAACATCAACCTCACTTTTCTTATTTGTTAACAAAGTATTGAAATATAGTTTTCCACAATTATTTTGACTTATGAATGGTGTTTTTTGGGCTATAGTATGAATTCAAGCATGCCATTACATCGTGGTGTTTTACCAGGTGATTCAATAATGGTGACGAGGTACAGTATCTCAGGAACTAATAGTTTATTAAACACGCCTCCTAGCGAGGGCGGTAAGAACCAGAATGGTATGTATGGATCTTTATTTTATTCACCAAACCTTCCTTCCTCGAACCATACCTTTTGTTAGCAATTTATTAGTTCCTGAGATACAGCTTCTCGGTTACCCTTATTGAATCACCTGGTACAATGCACAAAAAGTGCAGCGGGAGACGAAGGAACAAGATTTTTCTGTTGAATTCCAAATAGATGGGGGCGAAATGTTCTAGGAGATATTGACGCATCGCAGTCGAATTATTTCAACTGTTAAACTGACACTAGGTCAAATGATCCCTTCAAAAAATAACATGGGCTTGTAGTCTATTATGTCAGTGCTTGTCACGTCAGATTGTCCGTACTCTATATACCCTCTAGCGTCATAACATTTTTGCCAAACGGTGTTTTTCCAATGTTTCATCTTAAGAGATATTTGCAGTGAAAATTTTCGACTTTTCTCTGTATAATATAATATTAGGATATTTCAGGGAAAAAATTGTTCGTGTTCGCCTGACAATAACGCCCTGGACTGTCAAGTATTGGTAAAATGATTGTCTGATTATCGGTTGTTCGTGACCATTCAGAATAATATATGATGCCATAATGTACAAATGTACTCACGGCATGAGGTTAAACACCACTTCCCATCATATCCCACACGTTTGAGTTCAGAGTAACAAAAACTTTGAGAGCTCCTCATTATTTCCTTATTTTGTTGACATTGGCAATAAGAGCCACTTAGCGATTAGCGGGGGTCCAAATCCTAATTGCCTATTATACTGAAGGGCAATTATTGATTTTGGTGCGGGTGTTTGCATTTTTCCTCCTCCCGTTCTCCTAATTAAACTGTATTCATATTTTTGTGTCCGAAAAAACAGATTATTATTATTTTTTGAATAGGTAATCAGATCAATGTGTTTTGTCCTGTTTTCATAGGTGGTCGTAGGAAAAACAAAAAGGACGAATCAATATTTTCCATTCCGTCCAAAAATCTTCTGATTTTCTAAATTGTCATGGAGTTTGATGTTATATCTCGAGATGGTTTTTTATTTTTATTGATTAATTACACTGTTCCGTTATTATGATGACAAGACAAAAGCCAAAAGCTAATAATTTTTCCCTTGTATAATGAATAACTATATTTTGGCAAACCGGATATATTTTCCTAGTATTTACATTGATCATTTCCACCTTCCAGGAAATGAATATTAGAGGACAACACAGGAGCCAAAAGCTAATAATTTTTCCCTTGTATAATGAATAACTATATTTTGACAAACCGGATATATTTTCCTAGTATTCACATTGATCATTTTCACCTTCCAGGAGACGAATATTAGAGCAAATATAAAATAATAAACGTATACCACCAGTTAATATAAGCAGATCTAAATCTGGTTAGAACGTTTACATAAAGCTAATTCCCAAGTACTTTCATTTTGGAGTCGATATTGCTACTGACAAAGCCAACACATTTTGGTTTATTACGTGTTGAAATCGTCGTTCGGCTGCAAATGTTTGGTTACCTTTGCCAAATTTTCAACAATTCTTGACAACGTGTCAATTTCTCTCTCAAGATTACCTGATCATCCATTATAATATTCATAAAGGCTTCTCGACTGATTGATCAATGCACATCTCATCGTTGAATTCTTGTAAAAAATATATACTTCCCAATAAACACAGCTACGTGGAAAAACGTTGAATTGTTCAAGTAACGCCTCTATTAATCATCGTTGAAAAAACGGCAAAATGTCGTTAGGCAATACGTTTTATTCTGGTTCTACAGTAACGTTACCTCTTCACGTTGATTCATCGTAACTAAGACGTTGCACACGTAGCACACGTAATGTGAATTCTACTGATATATACCGTTTTATTTCAGTTCCGACGTAACCATTCAAATCAACAGTTTCTTAACGTTTTCTATACGTTTCCAACCGATTTAAATATAACGATGTATTTTGGTTTCAAACTTGGTTTCAAAGTAACGTTGCTGAGATACGAATTCTGAACGTTGATGTTAACTCTAGAATTAAACGTGAAATTGCAGAATTCAAGTAACGTTGATCTTCTAGATTGGATCAACGATGATTTATCTTATCGTCGAATCGATATTACTACCAATTTTAAACGTAACTAAAACGTTTCTGAGACAACAGGTGAAGTAACGTATTCATTTTCACTACGGATCAATCTCTATTATCATCGCAAATTGATTAAAAATAATAAAAATAACCAAAATACAAATACAAGATTCATAATGTGTATAGTCCTAGATCCTAGATATCAATGGAATCTCAATCAGATAGGTATCACTATTTTGTTTTCGACTCGAGACTTGATGGCGTCATTCATCCGTTTCTTCGCAAACTTCAACCAGTCCTTGGTTGCATCTGCAATATGGACATCAGTTGCTGCTTCAAACTTCCTTTCGACAGCAACTGCATAAATTATTCAATATGAATATAATGAAAAACGAAAAAAGAAATTTACATACCATAAATTAGTTGGATCACCTTTGTGTCCTTGAGTGCAGCCACTTCTCCTTTGCCTTTTTATGTGTAAAGACGAACTAGCTCGTTGGTTCTCAAAATCCTCCATGTATGTTCCTCTGGAGAATTGCCAGCAATTGACTTCAATTTTGTTATCTGAAATTTCGGCTCATTTGTGATCGAAACAAATTCTGGAGAATCAATGATAATTATTTATGAAATGTCTGTCTCATCATTCCTATCAATGTTCCTGAATATTGAGTACCGGTTTTCAACCATTTTCCAACCTTCATTTCATCAACGCATTCGAGAAGTGTTTCATCTACCTTCTACACACGTTTCATCACCGTTATAAGAGGTGGTTAGACAAAACGACTCCAAATGAGATGTGATTTTTCTCGACCGAGAATTTATAACTATGAAATATAATTAAAACTCCATGATATCAATTTGTGCAAGTTGGACCAAGTACCTACTGCATGGGAGTTTGTGAACCTTCCGACATGATATAATCGAATAAGTAGGTATAACTTTCGATAGGTGAATGTACTCATTTTGCTTCAAATTGATCATCCTTGCAATCGTCTTCAAGAGATGACCATTGGAAATATTCGGAATTTGCAAAATACATAGGTAGAATTCAATAATAAAGTGGGTACTTACCAATCTCATATCTTCTCACATCCACGCATAACCTCTGAAGAATCACAATAAACTGTTAACCTTAATGGCGTCAGACGAACTGTGAGCACACTGGCGAGTGGCGGTGGCAGACTGCCGATAGGTCAGGTTCATTCAATACGAATACTTTTGAATAATTCATCCAACGGATCGAACACGTATTTTCAGAACGTTTAATAAACGTTGAAAAAGTTGTAATTATAGAACGTGGTTTTAAGGTCGCTCGAAGATATATAGTTGTTATTCAATAATTCATTCAACGGATCGAACACGTAATTTCATAACGTTTAATGAACGTGAAGAAAAAAGTGCATGAAACGTGGAATATCGGTTT